GAATAGACACTTCTCTAAAGAAGACATCCAGATGGCCAACAGGCACATGAAAAGATGCTCAACGTTGCTCCTCATCAGGGAAATACAAATCAAAACCACACTCATATCGTCTCACGCCAGTCAGAGTGGCTAAAATGAGCAAAATAGGAGACTATAGATGCTGGAGAGGATGTGGAGAAATGGGAACCCTCTTGCACTGTTGGTGGGAATGCAAACTGGTGCAGCCACTCTGGAAAACAGTGTGGAGGTTCCTCAAAAAATTAAAAATAGACCTACCCTATGACCCAGCAGTAGCACTGCTAGGAATTGACCCAAGGGATACAGGAGTACTGATGCATAGGGGCACTTGTACCCCAATGTTTATAGGAGCACTCTCAACAATAGCCAAATTGTGGAAAGAGCCTAAATGTCCATCAACTGATGAATGGATAAAGAAATTGTGGTTTATATGCACAATGGAATTATACGGGCAATGAGAAAGAATGAAATATGGCTTTTTGTAGCAATATGGATGGAATTGGAGAGTGTTATGCTAAGCAAAATAAGTCCTACAGAGAAGGATAGATTCCATATGTTTTCACTCCTATGTGGATCCTGAGAAACTTAACAGAAGACAATGGGGGAGGGGAAGAAAAAAATGGTTAGAGAGGGAGGGAGCCAAAACATAAGAGACTCCTAAAAACTGAGAACAAACTGAGGGTTGATGGGGGGGGGAGGGAGGGAGGGGGGGTGGGTGATGGGCATTGAGGAGGGCACCTGTTGGGATGAGCACTGGGTGTTGTATGGAAACCAATTTGACAATAAATTTCATAATAAATAAATTTCATGGGTCCACTTTACTAGGATTTTTTTTCCAAGAAATACAGTACAGTACTGTAAATCTATTTTCCCTTTCTTATGATTTTCTTAATAACATTTTCTTTTCTCTAGCTCACTTCATTGTAAGAATACAGTATACAACACGTATAATATACAAAATATGTGTTCATCCACTGTTATCGATAGACTTCTGGTCAACAATAGGCTATCCATAGTTAAGTTTTTGGGGGGTCAAAATTTACACACAGATTTTCAACTGCATTTAGGGGGTCAGTACCCGTATGCCCTGCATTGTTCAAAGGTCAACTACATGTTTTACTAGGAAATTTCTCTGAAAAAACAAACTGATGTTCAAAAATTTGTGAACAAAGAAATTGACATATATGTGATTTCAAATGGCATCATCTGTATAAAACATACAACTAATGATAATGACTAACTTGGGGGTGAGAATCATGTTGGAACTAAAATACTTGAGAACAACGTGTACGGAGGCAAGGGGTGGGTTGTGGTTAAGTGTTAAACACAAAAAGGCCTTGTGTTCTTTGATACTGGAGATGTTAATTAAGGTTGTTAAATTTTAATGGCAACCACGCTAGGATGCATATAGAATGTGGATCTTCTGGACCAGCAAAATGTGCATAAAATTACAGAGATTATTTAAATGGCTCAAAAGGATGTAAGAGGACATAAAAGCGTAAAGACATAGAGAAGTTTCTACAAAACTTGCATTCAGGAGCTAGCAAGTTCCCAAACCTATTGGTGCAAAGTAGTCTCAGCAGTTAAAAAGCATAGCTTTTTAGATTGGGAAAACTATAAATGGAAATGGAACTTGGCAACAATTCTCTGAGAAGTACCAGGTCAATGGATACAAAGAATCTCACGTCGATTTCCCTATTTTAACTACATAATACCATTTCTACTGATGTATCTGAAAGAAACCATTAGAAACAGTACTCAAAGAAATACACGCAGAGACGTACATGAATGCAAAACTGCTTCATGCTATGCAAAAATATAACAGGTTCCCCGAACCCTTTCTTACTACAATAAGAACTAACAGTTATAAATTTTAATTTTCTTTTATTTCTTTTCTTTTATCAGTACATAGAAAAGAGGTAAAAATGCCACAAGGTTAGCAGAAGTCCTTTCTTGAGAATGAGCCATTGGGTGATCAATTTTTTTCTGCAATATTCTCTTGATATTTGTGACCATGAAAAAGCATTATTTTTGTAATCAGAAGTAGACAGTAATTTTTCATAGAACTCATAGTATGCTTCGAGTGTACTTCATGTGCTGTATAATTTGGTTGAGTCTAACGCTGCCAAGGGAATTTACATTTGCACGTTTCTTTAAAGTCTTACGTGTATACGTGTGCATGCACGTGTGTGTGTGCGTTGCCTCCTACAAATTTTATAAGAAGCTTAGGGTAGGTGTTGTTATTAGCCATTTTCACAGACAAGGAGACTAAAAGATCAGAGATCGTAAGACTTTGCCTAATGCTTGCTGTAGAGCTTCTGTGTTCTCTGTGCTGATTTCTCAAAAATGTACACACCACTAATATATTTTCTAAATGTGTAGATCAATTTCTATAAGGATACTGAGCGGCAATTGGGATGGTTCCGTGTGGCGAATATGCAAATATGTGCACAGGCATCCCAGTCTCAGTGGGTTCTTTCCCACCACTATAGGAGCATGAGAGCCAAGCAGTTGTCCAGATGGAAATTCCTTCACAAGCTGTAACCACAGATATAAACACCTCTCTTAAATGAGGAACATTCTCATGATGTGGTCACTGCAATTTTTTCACCATTTCCCAACACCATTAGGAAACATTCCTCAATCTCACAGAGAGTACTTGAGGTTTTGTGCTTTTTTTTTTTTTTCAATTTGTAAAGATAAGTAGGGGAAGATAAAGCTGGACAGCTGGGGAGACCACAGTTTCAGTCTGTGTGCGACTTCTCAGCTACCTGCAGTAGGCAACATGCCTTTGGTCCTACTTTCTATCCTCTGGCTCATCACTCCAACTCAAGGTAAGCACCAAAATACTGACATTTTATACAAAAGTCAAATTGCTTAATGCATTTGAAAGTACTCTTGAGAAAATAACATGCTCATATGACCCAAAGATCACTGCATTTTGCTATATTTACTTTATATATACTCCACGCTCATACTCAAGGTGTTATGATTGGTATAATAATTTCATTAGGATGCACCTCAAACTTTACCTCTTAGTCAATACGCTACTGGATCTATAATTTTATTTTCTAAGGCACACAGCCTAAATGACACCAGAGAATTAACTTCCAGACCAGAAATCAAGAATTTCCTCCCCATCTCCAATGTTATCTCGAATAACATTGATATTTTCTACCCCGTAAGGAGACAATCATTTATCCAGACACAATGTGACCAAAAACTGTGCTAGAATGGATAACTCTTAAGTAAAATTAGCATCAAATTAGACATAATTGCAGCATTAAGCAAAATTAAAAATTAATTGGCCAACTGAAAATTTACTAATGGAGTTAAGACTGAAATCTATTAAAATTTATTCTCTTCTAAATCCCACAACTCTTTACATTAATTGGATTCACATTCTCCATCGTTAAAAAAAATTCCTAGTAATAAATTTATAAATGTGATGAATCCTTTCTAAGATAGCATCGTAGCAGAACTTTGGGGACTGGCTAGGAGAAATTTTTTACTTGAGAAGTTTCCTTCCGGTTCTTCATATCATCCAGGTGTAAAATTGCTTGGAGTTCCCAAGGCCACGCTGTCTGTCAGTGGGAAATTGTCTTTAAGCACAGACATTCATCTTTGAAAATGGGAGCATTTAAAAACCAGACTGACCTTACATCGAACAATTAAAAGAAAAAGTACATAAGGTGTATATGTCATCTTCCTAGACGGGCGCTACATAATTTGGTATATTTTATGTCATTCAATGTCTACACCGACCTCCGTTTTTTAAATAAGTAACCTGATTGGAAGGAAAAATAGCTTTTGCAAGGTCATTTGGCTAGGACTTAAGACCACATCTTTTGGCTCCAATATCCGCTCTAGGAAATGGTCTATGTAATATTATACCAAGTGTATCAAGAAGGACACTGAGTTCACTTAGTCTACTTGCTATCCGGTTTTCCTACTTGCTATCTGATGCTTTAAAGTTGCTTCGGCAGGGATCACCAAAACTTTGTCTCCCTATGAAATCTGGAGTCTTGAGGGCAAATGCTGATGAGACAAAGAACGTAACGGTTCATTGTTAGGCTGTGAAAGAAAATAGCGGTCAGTAGGGTCTTCCCTAAGAATGAAGTATTGTCTGTTTATAAAAATTTGATTTTTGGGGGGCGCCTGGGTGGCTCAGTCGGTTAAGCGTCCGACTTCAGCTCAGGTCACGATCTCGCGGTCCGTGAGTTCGAGCCCCGCGTCGGGCTCTGGGCTGATGGCTCGGAGCCTGGAGCCTGTTTCCGATTCTGTGTCTCCCTCTCTCTCTCTGCCCCTCCCCCGTTCATGCTCTGTCTCTCTCTGTCCCAAAAATAAATAAACGTTGAAAAAAAAATTTAAAAAAAATTTGATTTTTGGAAGGGGTAGTCTGAGGTTTCACCACAAAGAGAAAAAGACATAGAAAGAAAAAAGGAATCTCTGAGAACGCTGAGAGAAAAATCCTCAATTTTGAACCAGACTAGAGAAGAGAAGAGGAGGGAACTGGACTACAGGGAAGGATTCCTGGCTTCCATAATCTCCCACATATTGAGAGATCATCCAACGCATTGCCATATCTTTCCAGAATAGGTAGATAGAGCAAAAGAAAAATTCTTTGTTATCCAAGGTGATAAGGAGAAGGAGGAAGGCGTAACTTGTTTCTCCTAAGGTTTACTTTCTGGACGGGAATTCGGTCTTCCATACCATTTCAACAAAACCAACCAACCCAAACCAAAACAATACCAAAGACTTTAAATGTGTTATATCAATATTATCTCTCTCTCTTTCTAGCAATGGCCATAAAGCAAACACCTGAATTAGAGCTCTATGAAGTAGTTCGCCCTAAAAAACTACACATTTTACACAAAAGGGAGATACAAAACAACCAGACAGAGAATGGCAAAGAGGTAAGCAGTGTGAATGACTATGGGATTTTACAACGAACCAATTAAGAGCCTCTTCACCCATGGAAGTGATGTCTAATAGTTGACTTTTGAAGCCCATATCCACAGGTCCCCTTTGTCCAGGAAAGAATGCAGGATTTCTCAGAATGCTTTTACAATTAAGCTGTAAGAAGGGAGTTCACTGTTTCACTTGCTCAGAAAGAACAAAGCTGTTTGGACATCTCTCCAAATTTGGAGGATAGGGGGAGAGCATAGAAAGGCAGTCATTTCTAGAAGGTGTTTCTTACCAAGTTCACCAAACCTGTGTATTCCCCCTACCCTCACCTCCTGTCCCACTGAATTGCCTTTTCCATGGTCATCTTGTCTGTAATGGAGAACTCAACATTATCCCATTAAGTAGCACGATTTACAAAATTTATTAAAGATGGGCGCCTGGGTGCCTCAGTCGGTTAAGCATCAGACTCTTGGTTTTGGCTCAGGTTATGATCTCACAGTTCATGAGTTCCAGCCCTGTATGGGGCTCCATGAGGGCAGTGCGGAGCCTGATTGGGATTCTCTCTCTCCCTCTCTCTCTCTTACCCTCCTCCACTCATTCTCTCTCTTACTCTTTCTCTCTTAAAAATAAATTAATTAACTAAAAAAATTTTTTTAATTGATTAAAGACATTGACTCTTCGACTATTACGTTGTTGCAAATATTTGTAACTTTTACTTTTAAAATATTTTTTACTTTATTTAATTCTTAGTAGGTTTTTACCTGGTTTTCTTTAGTATATTTGGTTTGGTTTTAAAATAATAAAAATAGGGGCTCCTGGGTGGCTCAGTTGGTTATGCGACCGACTTCGGCTCATGGTTCATGAGTTCCAGCCCTGCGTCAGGCTCTGTGCTGACAGCTCAGAGCCTG